AAAACAGCTGGGTCCAAGATCTGGATGTCATTTCCTGAGAGGTCTAATTTCTGCAGCGTATGCCAGATCCAAGGCAGGCCCTGATTGATGGCTCGTATGCGGTTCCATTGCAAGTAGAGGACCTGTAGATTGGTAAGGCGTGGAAAAAGAAAAAAATGTATCCTTGAAAATTTATTATGCTCCAAATGAAGCTCTTTCAACCTGAACAGCCCCAAGAAGGTGGTGCGGGTAAGGGTGCGTAGGTGATTGTAACCCAGATCCAGGAACTCCAGGTTGCGACACTCCAGGAAAGTGCGTACAGGTATCCTGTTGAGACCATTGGATCGTAGGTGAAGGTTTTGGAGCTTACGCAGACCATAGAAATGACCTGGCTGCAGAGACTGTAGCTGGTTGTAGGACAAATCAAGATTGCGTAGGTTTGGTACAGCATTGAAAGTCTTATTTTGTAGAAGTGTAATTTTGTTGGAGCTGAGAATCAGTTCTTTGAGCCTACGCACGCCCTGAAAGGCTAAGCTATCTATGACGGTGATGGAATTGTGGTCCAGGTAGAGCCAGATGAGCTGGTTGAGATGAGCGAATTGGTAAGGCAGCAGAGTCAGTAGACTGTTGTAGCGCAGGGACAGACCCTGGCATCCAGTAGAGATGTTTTCTGGGATGTCTTGAAAGATGCCAGACTCACAATAAACAATCTTCCCTTCACAGCGACAACTTGCTGGGCACATCCTCTCCCCCTTGCTGAGCAGCAGAAGAAAAGACGCCAGGAGAAGAAGACATGAAAGCCGACTATCCCAAACTAGGGAACCTGTTGATGAGAAAAGATTTGAGTGAACGGGCTACAAAAGCACACCCCCATTTCAATATGTGTGCCCTGTCATTGTGCAATGTCCATGACAGAGTCAATTGATTTTTCAGCCAGATTTTCTTTTAGCAGTGGCAATGAAAATCCTGTAAACTATGAGTGATGGGTGTTTCTTTCTAAGACATAAATGCACAGCAGCAGAGAACAGACACTGAATAACTTTCACATTTCGTACCAGTTGTGAGCTCAAATATGTATAATGTATATTCAGAAATATATAAAAGGGCAGATATATTACTCAGTGACCAATCTTTTGTTGGGTTTTAGAGTAGCCTAACTACCTTATAAAAGCTACCCCCCACTTCAAACATAATTAGAAACCCTATATAATACAATACTGGTTGAACACTGCATAGGAAAAGCAAGCATCAAGGAATTTCATGAAACAAAGCTTCAAATCGCCATAACTTTCATGAAATAGAAATATGTATCTTTATAATGTTTGTTTCATTGGTAGTCACTTACCCATTGCGGCTTAGTGAAATAGGAGCAATACTTTCAGCACCATGGAACTGTCCAAATAATTCATTTAACTCCTTTCATTCGACACACGCATGCTCTACCACTAGAAAACTGAAAATATTGCATGAATTGCCTCGCGATTTTCAAGTGATGCTCTTAAATGTATACATCACCGACAATAAGATTTTAAATCTGAATAAAATACAAGTTAGAGCATAAGCAGTCTTCCAACAGTTCAATATATCCGCGGAGGATCATAATGCACTCATCCCTAAATAGCCTACTGGACTGGTAGTGACTTCACTCGGACGCGGCAAAGAAATGGAAATATTGGCTATGCGCAATAAAGAATTCCGTTCAGGCATGTCGAATTGCACAACCCAGTGCAAATGCAGCACCTTGCGCCTTCTCGCTCTCTACATACACATGCATGAACACTCGCGAAAAGAGAGGGAGAGAGACAAAGCCATAATATTACATTTTAAATGTCTCTATTCCTTTGAAACTTTTGTAAGTGTAATGTTTACTGTTCATTTTTTTGTTTATTTCAATGTAGTTTATTATCTATTTCACTTGATGTGGCAATGTAAACATATGTTTCCCATGTCAATAAAGCCCTTTGAATTGTATAAGAATCGGTCACATTCGAGTTACTAAAATAGATAAAAACTGTGCATTTATTGAAAGTTGAAAGATCAAAGTTCAACATACTCTGATTTATGAACGATCTATATTTATGTACAAAAGCTACCTTATTCATGATGAATTTTCATGAGTAAGGAAAAGTAGCCTCCACAATCTGGCATCCCTAATTTGGTTAAAACATAAAAAATGAAATGACTAATTTCGCTGTTGTTGCCTATAGTAGGCCGACTGCCCACAGTATCTATAAATAGCATCATAATAAAATAGTTAAACGTGTTGTAACAACATTTGGGCTACAGATTAATATAAGTAAAAACAAAAGATGCAGAGTTTGTCAATGTAAAGTACTACAAGGGGCCCTTCAAACATACAGTGGGGGGGAAAAGTATTTAGTCAGCCACCAATTGTGCAAGTTCTCCCACTTAAAAAGATGAGAGGCCTGTAAGATGAGAGAGGCCTGTAATTTTCATCATAGGTACACGTCAACTATGACAGACAAAATGAGAAAAAAAAATCCTTCGTTGCCCGGGCGGTGTGTTTGGGATCATTGTCATGCTGAAAGACCCAGCCACGTTTCATCTTCAATGCCCTTGCTGATGGAAGGAGATTTTCACTCAAAATCTCACGATACATGGCCCCATTCATTCTTTCCTTTACACGGATCAGTCGTCCTGGTCCCTAGGTATGGTGTTCTTTGGATGCAACTCAGCATTCTTTGTCCTCCAAACACGACGAGTTGAGTTTTTACCAAAAAGTTCTATTTTGGTTTCATCTGACCATATGACATTCTCCCAATCCTCTTCTGGATCATCCAAATGCACTCTAGCAAACTTCAGACGGGCCTGGACACGTCTGGCACTGCAGGATTTGAGTCCCTGGCGGCGTAGTGTGTTACTGATGGTAGGCTTTGTTACTTTGGTCCCATCTCTCTGCAGGTCATTCACTAGGTCCCCCCGTGTGGTTCTGGGATTTTTGCTCACCGTTCTTGTGATCATTTTGACCCCACGGGGTGAGATCTTGCGTGGAGCCCCAGATCGAGGGAGATTATCAGTGGTCTTGTATGTCTTCCATTTCCTAATAATTGCTCCCACAGTTGATTTCTTCAAACCAAGCTGCTTACCTATTGCAGATTCAGTCTTCCCAGCCTGGTGCAGGTCTACAATTTTGTTTCTGGTGTCCTTTGACAGCTCTTTGGTCTTGGCCATAGTGAAGTTTGGAGTGTGACTGATTGAGGTTGTGGACAGGTGTCTTTTATACTGATAATAAGTTCAAACAGGTGCCATTAATACAGGTAACGAGTGGAGGACAGAGGAGCCTCTTAAAGAAGAAGTTACAGGTCTGTGAGAGCCAGAAATCTTGCTTGTTTGTAGGTGACCAAATACCTATTTTCCACCATAATTTGCAAATAAATTCATTAAAAATCCTACAATGTGATTTTCTGGATTTTTTTTCTAAATTTGTCTGTCATAGTTGACGTGTACCTATGATGAACATTACAGGCCTCTCTCATCTTTTTAAGTGGGAGAACTTGCACAATTGGTGGCTGACTAAATACTTTTTTTCCCCACTGTACATGTGCAGTTCAGCAATAACAGTGAGAACAATCTCTCCTAATACCTCAATGCCTTTGGGAAATCAGATCAGTGCTGTTTAAACTGATGGCAGGATAAAAGGAAATAATTCAGTATTTTGGCATTTTGTGATTTCTTATTAGTCAGACATAAGATTGGGTTTTTGTTTTTATGTCCCTACCCAGCTAGCACATAAAGTTCTGAGAACCATATGTTTCTTAGAGCTTGGTGAGAGTGTGGTTGACCTATGGTTATTTTGTATACAACCTTCCCATAACTTTCTGGGAATGGTGCAGGATAGTTGCTTGGCTTTGGAACATTCTCAGCACATTTAAGGAAATTGACAAAAAAAAAAAACTTTATTTTCTTGATATTTCATTACTTTAACAGAATGTTTCCTAAAATGTCAATCATGGTTACATTTCATTTCAATTTTGGTAATGTTCTCCGACTGGTTTAACATTGGGAATGTTCTCAAATAGTTCCGAGAATGTTAAGAAACAACGTTCTTCTGAGGTAATTTCAGTACTTCAGAATAACGTTTCCTCATGGTTCTATTTAAAGTAATGTTCCCAAATTGTTCCAAGAACATTAAGAAAACTTTCCATGAAAACCCCAAGAAACCTTGAGTAACATTCAGAGAACGTTATAAGAATGTTATTTAAAAACATACAATCCATTCTCAGCATCAACAAAACTGTCCTCTATCTTGTTAAGTGTGCTCAGGTGTGTTGGCCACGCCCACTAATTGGCCACACCTGATCATAATGACCGATTGGTTCCTTTGAAATGGGGTCTGTTTGAATAGACTAAAAATAACATGGCATGCTAGCTCCTTCCTGGTGGTGCATTGGACTAATTCTATGGCTAGAGAACAAAAGATCATAGGTTCGTATCTCACTGATGCCTTGTCACAATAAAAAAAGATATGTCTGCATGATTAATGCCCAAGGAAATGAATTGCCATGCATTTGAACTGTGCTTGGAGTTCAAATAAGCTAGCAGTGGTAAAGTCATGACCACTTACTTAACATTCAGTGAAAGTTAAGGAAGTCATTCAAATAACCTAGAATTTATTTTTTCAGAGCATTATCAAAACCTCCCAAGAAAACTTTCAAGGAACCAAAGTAAAATGTTCTCAGAACCTCCATGCAACCTGAAAATAAACATTATCAAAACAGGTAATTTTTCACTTCTGTTCTCAGAACGTTTAAAAAACATTGTTTTACCGGTCAGGAAGCGTATGGCTTTGTTCCCACAATCAATGTGAAACCAAAAACATATGTTCCCACAACTTCCAAGAAAACAAATGTGCTGGTGACTGACATCAATCATGTCACTATCATTTTGCAACAGGTCATTGTTCACACAGTTGGCCATGTGAACTCTGCTAGCAATGCTCAGCAGTGTTTAACATCTAGCCAATGGATTGTTTTATCAAAAACAAAGATTAATTGACATGTCCCATTTTTATTTGAGAAAAAAAATAATTTCATACAAAAGTCTGCACCGGGAACCAAATCTTGTGTGCGCGCTGACTGCTGGTTTTGCCTGCAACAGTAGAAGGAACAATCTTACAGTATATTGGCTCAAGTCACTGTGTTAGACGTGCTTCTTGGCCTTTTCACCCTGGGGAAAAAAAATAAAACAGATGTACTGTTAAAAGTAATGACAACTTGCGACATAATGATGACGATAATGCTAGAGCAACAAGTAACGGACAAGATCAATAGTTGTCCTCACGCCGTTCGTTTGAATTTCACAGTGTATTTGAGTGATCTGAGTCTACTACACTACCTTTATGGTATTCCCCAACTCCAGTAGCGTCTGTTGATAGCGGGGTTCCATGCTCTTCAGACTACCAGGCTTGACTATCTGTTTGTGGATCCCAGGGCTGCCTGCATCCTTCACCATCTGAAGAAAGTTTTTCTCCTATAGAATAGCAACGACCAACATCAACCAGAATTAGCATACAGGAACTGTAGTTCTTTAACTAAAGCAGCAATTTTATAGCTATTAAAACTTGTCTGGCAGTTTTGGCAGTGAGGCCCCGTGGAGCTCAGTTGGTAGAGCATGGCGCTTGCAACGCCAGGGTTGTGGGTTCGTTTCCCACGGGGGGCCAGTATGAAAATGTATGCACTCACTAACTAAGTCGCTCTGGATAAGAGCGTCTGCTAAATGACTAAAATGTAATGTAATCACAACTAAACAAAACTCACATTTACTTAAATTGAAATGTGAATGGTATTTATGCAGGAGCAATGCAGTTTAGAGAATATTGCTTTTCTGCAATGCTATCATTCCAGCCTTGGCCACACATTCACATATTTGCATTGCTCTTTGTGTCTTATGTTTGAAAAATACATCCATCTCACCTGTACCCCCAACAGAAATGTGAAGGCCAGTCCAGATTTTCCAGCTCTTGCAGTTCTTCCAACCCTGTGCCAACAAAAAATTGTTGCACAGAAAGGCAAAACATCTAAGAACATTGTATACAAAAGCTACAACAAATACAATTCAACCTATGCAGTTACAAGTGTAACAGTCAAATAAAACATAGGCTAGCTTACCGGTGAATGTAAGTCCTGATGAACTGTGGTGCATCATAGTTCACAACACATTTCACCCCATTGATGTCAATGCCTCTGGCAGCAGCATCAGTGCTGATCAAACTTGAAAAAAAAAAAAAATATATATATATATATATATATACACACACACACAACCAGTCAAAAGTTTGGACACACCTACTCATTCAAGGGTTTTTATTTATTTATTTTTTACATTGTAGAATAATAGTGAAGACATCAAAACTATGAATTAACACATATGGAATCATGTAGTAACCAAGTGTTAAAGTGAGCCAATCAGTTGTGTTGTGACAAGGTATACAGAAGATAGCCCTATTTGGTAAAAGACCCAGTCCATTTTATGGCAAGAACAGCTCAAATAAGCAAAGAGAAATTACAGTCCATCACTACTTGAAGACATGAAGGTCAGTCAATACTTGAATGTTTCTTCAAGTGCAGTCGCAAAAACCATCAAGCGCTATGATGAAACTGGCTCTCATGAGGACCGCCACAGGAATGGAAGACCCAGAGTTACCTCTGATGCAGAGGATAAGTTCATTAGAGTTACCAGCCTCAAAATGCAGCCCAAATAAATGCTTCACAGAGTTCAAGTCACAGACACATCTCAACATCAACTGTTCAGAGGGGACTGTGTGAATCAGGCTTTCGTGGTCGAATTGCTGCAAAGAAACCACTACTAAAGGACACCAATAATAAGAAGAGACCTGCTTGGGCCAAGAAACATGAGCAATGGACATTAGACCAGTGGAAATGTGTCCTTTGGTCTGGAGTCCAAATTGGAGATTTTTGGTTCCAACCACGGCGGTTGGAACACCGCGTCTCCACGGCGGTTGGAGACGCGGTGTGGCTGAACGGATGATCTCCGCATGTGTAGTTCCCACCGTAAAGCATGGAGGAGGAGGTGTTATGGTGTAGGGGTGCTTTGCTGGTGACACTGTCTGTGATTTATTTAGAATTCAAGACACACTTAACCAGCATGGCTACCACAGCATTCTGCAGCGATACGCCATCCCATCTGGTTTGCGCTTAGTGGGACTATCATTTGTTTTTCAACAGGACAATGACCCAACACACCTCCAGGCTGTGTACGGGCTATTTTACCAAGAATGAGAGTGATGGAGTGCTGCATCAGATGACCTGGCCTCCACAATCCCCCGACCTCAACCCAACTGAGATGGTTTGGGATGAGTCAGACGGCAGATTGAAGGAAAAGCAGCCAACAAGTGCTCAGCATATGTGGGAACTCCTTCAAGACTGTTGGAAAAGCATTCCAGGTGAAGCTGGTTGAGAGAATGCCAAGAGTGTGCAAAGCTGTCATAAAGGCAAAGGGTGGCTATTTGAAGAATCTCAAATCTCAAATATATTTTGATTTGTTTAACACTTTTGGTTACTACATGATTCCTTATGTGTTATTTCATAGTGTTGATGTCTTCACTATTATTCTACAATGTAGAAAATAGTAAAAATAAAGAAAAACCCTGGAATTAGTAGGTGTCCAAACCTTTGACTGGTACTGTGTATATATACACTGCTAAAAAAAATAAAGGGAACACTTAAACAACACAATGTAACTCCAAGTCAATCACACTTCTGTGAAATCAAACTGTCCACTTAGGAAGCAACACTGATTGACAATAAATGTCACATGCTGTTGTGCAAATGGCATAGACAACAGGTGGAAATTATAGGCAATTAGCAAGACACCCCCAATAAAGAAGTGGTTCTGCAGGTGGTGACCACAGACCACTTCTCAGTTCATATGCTTCCTGGCTGATGTTTTGGTCACTTTTGAATGCTGGCGATGCTTTCACTCTAGTGGTAGCATGAGACGGAGTCTACAACCCACACAAGTGGCTCAGGTAGTGCAGCTCATCCAGGATGGCACATCAATGCGAGCTGTGGCAAGAAGGTTTGCTGTGTCTGTCAGCGTAGTGTCCAGAGCATGGAGGCGCTACCAGGAGACAGGCCAGTACATCAGGAGACGTGGAGGAGGCCGTAGGAGGGCAACAACCCAGCAGCAGGACCGCTACCTCCGCCTTTGTGCAAGGAGGAGCAGGAGGAGCACTGCCAGAGCCCTGCAAAATGACCTCCAGCAGGCCACAAATGTGCATGTGTCTGCTCAAACGGTCAGAAACAGACTCCATGAGGGTGGTATGAGGGCCCGACGTCCACAGGTGGGGGTTGTGCTTACAGCCCAACACCGTGCAGGACGTTTGGCATTTGCCAGAGAACACCAAGATTGGCAAATTCGCCACTGGCGCCCTGTGCTCTTCACAGATGAAAGCAGGTTCACACTGAGCACATGTGACAGACGTGACAGAGTCTGGAGACGCCGTGGAGAACGTTCTGCTGCCTGCAACATCCTCCAGCATGACCGGTTTGGCAGTGGGTCAGTCATGGTGTGGGGTGGCATTTCTTTGGGGGGCCGCACAGCCCTCCATGTGCTCGCCAGAGGTAGCCTGACTGCCATTAGGTACCGAGATGAGATCCTCAGACCCCTTGTGAGACCATATGCTGGTGCGGTTGGCCCTGGGTTCCTCCTAATGCAAGACAATGCTAGACCTCATGTGGCTGGAGTGTGTAAGCAGTTCCTGCAAGAGGAAGGCATTGATGCTATGGACTGGCCCGCCCGTTCCCCAGACCTGAATCCAATTGAGCACATCTGGGACATCATGTCTCGCTTCATCCACCAACGCCACGTTGCACCACAGACTGTCCAGGAGTTGGCGGATGCTTTAGTCCAGGTCTGGGAGGAGATCCCTCAGGAGACCATCCGCCACCTCATCAGGAGCATGCCCAGGCGTTGTAGGGAGGTCATACAGGCACGTGGAGGCCACACACACTACTGAGCCTCATTTTGACTTGTTTTAAGGACATTACATCAAAGTTGGATCAGCCTGTAGTGTGGTTTTCCACTTTAATTTTGAGGGTGACTCCAAATCCAGACCTCCATGGGTTGATAAATTTGATTTCCATTGATAATTTTTGTGTGATTTTGTTGTCAGCACATTCAACTATGTAAAGAAAAAAGTATTTAATAAGATTATTTCATTCATTCAGATCTAGGATGTGTTGTTTAAGTGTTCCCTTTATTTTTTTGAGCAGTGTATAAATATTTGGCAAAGAATGGCAAAGAAAATAGGACATTAAATTATCCGCACTCACAGACACTCATACTCACAGTTGGATCTTTCCCTGTTCAAATTCCTTGAGGGTTCTCTTCCTCTCATTGGGGGAGAGTCGTGAGGAGAACTCAGCTGCCTGCACTCCACCAAAAAGCTGCACTAGCAGGTACAGTCTGTCAGAGAGAACAGAAAGCAAATCAAATGTCTGTGGACATGTAATCGTCATTCAATAACGCAGTAAGGAGAAAGCCTGAAGATTCACCAACCTGTGAGCGGCTTCTCTGGAATTGGTGAAGCACAGAATGGGACTAAACTTCAGGCGCAATATGAAATGGAGGATGAGGAGGGGCTTCTTACTCAGAGTGCAGGGCACATAGTACTCCTAGAAAAGAGACAACAATGGCACAATGCTCTGGGATATAGGATAAATTATATAAAAAATATATTTGGGATGTTTTGTAACTTACTGTCAGGCCTTGTGGGAAGTTGAACCTCTCTTGAGACTCAGGGTTGGTCGCTGACTGACTGTGGACAGAGCTGAAGAGTCTGGGCTGATGCAGGCCTAGTTGCTGCAACTTCTCTGGATTCTGAGTCAGTGTGGCTGAGAACAGGAGCTTCTGCAGAGGCATCTGAGGCGGTGACAAGCTGTCACAAAGTAAAAACAGAGATGTATTACATCACTGAAATGCATATACCCTAGAATAATGTATGAAAGCACACAATCCATTGGTGCAGAACAGTTTGTATTCTCACTAACAAACAAACCACATTGTACCTTTTGAATAATATTTTTCTCAAATCCCTCCTGCATTTTCCAGTACTGTCTGAAAGAATCCTGAGAAGTGAGGTCTTACCTCGCTGCTGTGATAGGCGCAGGCTCTGTCCTCTTGAAGATTGAGACTGCTTCAGAACCACTCCTGGGTCTGTAAACTGCCTTGGTCACCTGACTGAGCCAAGACTGGTGCATGCTGTCAATCATCCGGTCTGCCTCATCAATGATCTGCAGAGAAGGTTTGATATTGACCAAATGAAATATGAATCCTTTATTGAAATACTGTTAGTCATAACACCCATACAAATAAAAATGACACTGTACTAGTGACTCACAAGGAAGCGGAGGTGTTCCAAACTGAAACCATCATTCTTATTGATGTGATCAACTAGTCTCCCAGGGGTTGCGACAACAATGTCTGCCAAACTGTGGCTTATTCCACCTCTGCAAAAAGAGCAAAATGTATATTTCTTTCAGATTGATTTTCTCTTTAAAATCATGGTGTTATTTACGCACAAATTACTATTTTGAATGAAAGGAAACTAAGCTTAAACAAATAGAATAATTCATTATCCACCAAGGAAGAAAGACCATAATGTGTCTTTACCTGTTTTCTGAGAGCGATGCCTGCTCTGCGGCAAAGGACTTTTGACCAGCTAGCATGACCACTTTCAAGCTGTTGCCCTCCGCATATGAACTGAATACTTTGCAAACCTGTTTGAGAAAACATTTAAACGTTTTTCAAGCAAAATAATCACAAGTTATCTCCATCATGGAGATTGAAGGTTTGACCCTAGTTACCTGCTGTGCAAGCTCTTTGGTGGGCAACACTGCCAAAACCCGGACTTCACATACAACTCGCTCCATCAGTGCCTAATGACATAAAAAAAATAGAAAATGATGACTTATCTAATGGAAGAAAACACACACCTTCCATAAAAAAATATATATGGGTAATGGTTTAATTCATACCTGAATAACAGGTATGACAAATGCCAGAGTTTTGCCACTCCCCGTTGGTGCAGACACACAAATGTCTCTGGGTTTATAGCCCCCTCTTCCAATCAATAGACCATGAGACACACTCTCTAAAATGGCTGGGATGACTTCCGCTTGTACTGCAAAGTGGACACAACAGAAGTTGAGTACTTTCACCCCCCCCCCCCATCCCCCATATTGTGACAGTAAAACAGATTTCAACTTCCAATCCTTCATGCCTGCTAACCTGGAAAGAGGTGTTGAATTCCATTGCTCTCAAGTTTCCGTTGGAGTTTAGTACAAATTCCTGGGACGTCACTGATGGGGACTAGGTTGCTTGTAATGTCTCTCTGGATTACATCTGGCTCAGCAAGCCACTTGGGCAGGACTCTTTTTACCTAACATATTAAATACATAAAATGTATCATGAACATACTGTAAAGACATTTCCCACTACAAGTTATATCAATGCACTAGTGCACTTCACCAAAAGATTGTACCTTTTGAAGAATCTTTTTCTCAAATCCTCCCAGTATGGTGAAACCAGTCTGAGTGGAACTTGATCCTGTGTCTTGTTTTGACTGGTCATACAGAATTTTCTCCACCATTTCATCATCATTTTTTGTCAGCTCTGTTTTGTCAGCAGCAGTGGCCTCTTGCAGGTTTCTATTCTTATTGTGGACAGATGTCTGCTTCATCCCATCTAAGACCAAGGAGAGAAGCAAAGACAAAATAAGGAATACTAATATAAAATACATTCTTATGAATGTAATAATAATCATATAATATGCCATTTAGCAGACGCTTTTATCCAAACCGACTTACAGTCATGTGTGCATACATTTTTACGTATGGGTGGTCCCGGGGATCGAACCCACTACCCTGGCGTTACAAGCGATGTAACAATTTCAACTGTAAATGTGTGATATAAAATAATAGATACACACCTTTGTTCTCTTCTGTCGGTTGCATCTTTTTTGTATCCTTCTTCTTCTTCTTTCGTGCATTATCACCCTCGGAAAGTTCTTCAGGGTCAGGTGGGGACACATCCTGGTTTACTTGCTCTTTCCTCTTCTTTGGGCGTTTAGTCTCCTCGAGGTTGTCTCCCTTGTTTTTTCTTTTCTTCTTCACAGTGGTGTCCCTGTCACTCTCAACTGTTGTTTTTGACTGGTGTTCACCTTGGCATGACAAGCTCTGTTGCTCCTTGACTTTGGCCTTCCTCTGAAGCTTAGCCAACAACGCTTTGGCTCGAGATTCGTTGCTAGAGCCATCATCTCCGTCATCCCCAAGGTATCTGTGAAAAACATAGTCGTCAGTGTACTTAGTTTCAGGTCCCCAATAAACACACTTTATAAACATTTCATAAACACTTCATATAGCTACCTAGCTAGCTGACTATATCAATCCAGAACTAAGGAAGCAAGCTAACGTTAGCACACAACAAACAGCGAACATACCTATTAATAAGGAACAGAGCCATTGTTCAAATGTTGAAAGGGGCAAAATTGAGATGTGGGCACAACTTCAATAATGTAACGTTAGCTAGCAGCTATTCAACCACCATATATTATACTTTAAATCCCCCTCTGCTGTTTCACACGTGTGTTTTCCCAGAGATATTTAGAGACCGGAGGTCTTTTCCTGTTTACAGTCGCTTTAAAATGACGTTGGTAGCTTTTTTGATAAACCAGAAGAAGGCTTGACCACTTTCAAAAATTAAGAGGTGATGTTTTCTTTCTATCTTGTGAGTAAGTAACGCTATTATTTTCATCTTATTTGTTAATAGCTTAATATTTTAACTAGTGTTATCAATATATATTTTTAAAATGCAATGAGCGCGTTATAACAAGCACGCTACCTTCGGAACCCCCACCCCCGTAATGTGCAGCCTTCCGAATTATGACGCCGTCCAATGAAAACAAAGGATAAGACAGTGCGCACATTTTCAAAATCAACTGCTGAGGCTAGCCAGAAAGCTAACGTTATTCATCGAGTGAAAGGTATCTAGTTAGCTGGCAGAGAAAGGGACATTTTCACAATGGCAGAGGAATCTGCTGTCAAAGTCTGTGTACGGGTTCGACCTCTGATAGAAAGGTGAGTCTATTTTCTAAACTTTTTAAATATAGTTAGCTGGCTTACTAGCTAACGTTAGTAAAGAAGAATCTAGCAATTGTGAGTAACATTAGCTAGCTAGTTAGCTCTGGCAGCTAGCTAATTCATCTAACGTTAGCTAGCAAGCTAACAAAGCCAACGTTGGATAATGTTATGGTTTATGTCAGCTACATTATATAATAACTGTTAATTGATCAAGTTGAGAAATTGGCTTACAAGTTAACGTTGCCTAGCTTTATCTGTGGATATCTGTCTAACGTTGTTTATCTTCGTCGTAGGGAGGAAACTCCTGCAGAAAGTGCCGAGCCAGTCAAGTTGTATTGGAAAACTGATAAGCAGACAATTCATCAGGTTGATGATGGAAATTTTACCAAGAACTTCAGTTTCGGTGAGCTTTCACAAAGGCGAGGATGAATGTTGTCTGTCAAACTGTCTGAACGTGCAGGCAATAATCACATCTGTGTATGATTTGTTTCCCTGACAGACCGTGTATTTAGTGCTGAAGAAACAACTCTGCAGCTGTACCAGGAACTTGCAAAGCCTCTTGTTGTCTCCACTGTTGAAGGTTATAATGGTAAGGAAGGGATTGTGAACAAGTGCAATACTTTATCTTCTAGATTATAGTATTTTGACTATATAACACTATATGAACACTATTTAGTAACAATAATTGTATTTGAAATCTCTATTGGGTTGACTTGTTTGTTGACATTATATATATATATATATTAAGTGGCATACATTTATTTTCTCAGGAACAATATTCGCTTATGGACAAACTTCTTCTGGAAAGACTTTCACTATGATGGGGAGTTCTCTTACTCCAGGAGTTATACCCCTTGCCATGGAGGATGTCTTCCAGACTATAAAAAATGTGAGTAGTAGATTGTTTATTTTCTATCACATGCATGTGTTTTATAGTGTTGTAAGTGTTTGCTTTCATTTTTACTTTAGTGTCCAAAAAAGGAGTTCCTCCTGAGGGTGTCATACTTGGAGATCTACAATGAAACAGTGACAGATTTGCTCTGTGACAGTTGGAAAAGGAAACCTCTAGAAATCCGAGAGGGGAACAATGTAAGTTTGATGGAGACATTGTAAGACAATAGAACTGTGTTAGACAATAGGATGTATTCATTACACCGATTCTGTTGGGGAAAAACGTTTCTCAAACTGAACGCAACAGGGACGGACCTACCTAACGCTAACTATCTTTAGCGCCTATTGACGATAGTTTCTTCTGGCCGGGGGAGTTTTGTTAAGAGCCCCAACGCTCGTTCTGAACGTTAACGCATTGCTTGCAGTACAGTTTTGGAAACATAAGGAACATAGCTTTCATATCAGGAAAAAAAATAAGGTTAAATTACTACACACCTTTTTAGGGTTAGTGTTCCCACACGGCCACATCTCCATGTTACAGCACTTGTTTATGGAAGACAGACAAGGCATAGGCCGTCACCTGTGCTAAGTGGCTATGCGTGCTCCGAACACCTGTGTAAGCTAACTGGGGAGGAAGTGTACTTCATCAACTGGAGGCACACAGCATATTGATCTGTGCAAAACTGCTTCAGTAGGTGTATCTTTTTATTTGAAAGATTATTTCTCGCTGATATAAAAGATAAGGGACATATCAGCATATTTTGAAAACCGTTTTGCAAGCGACGATTATCGACGTTTCCAGACATTAAAACACAGCGTCATAATTGTAGCTCACCTCCAGATAAGGTTTTTCGAGAGCTAGGACCCAACTGAATTTCTCCAATAGAAACTCTTGTTTTAGTTGCAAAACGTTTTGCAACTGTTTGGACTAATGTTTACACCCCTGGTGTTTTGAATGGTGGAATAAATGGTGAAATGCCTGTCTTTGCAGAAAAACGTCTATGTAGCTGACCTAACAGAGGAGCTGGTGACATCTCCTGAGCAAGCCCTTGCTTGGATTAGAAAAGGAGAAAGTAAAATACTCTTCCTTATTTCAACCATCATGCTAGATTAAGTATAATCTATGTATTGCTTGAATAACATACTGACACTATTCTATTTGATGTTAAATGTATCCCCTAGAGAATCGCCATTATGGAAAGACAAAAATGAACCAGCGAAGCAGTCGTTCACACACAATTTTCCGCATGGTGAGACACTTTATTATACATCACAATAGACAATGCATTTCTGGTATCTGTGTGCTGGAGATAATTCTGATGTTTTTTTCTCAGATCTTGGAGAGTCGTGACAGGGGTGACTCTGCATCCGGTGAAAATTCAGACGGAGCCATTATTGTGTCCCATTTGGTAAGCTGCCACAGTCAAGTGTGTTTTGTGACCTCAGATATGTGTCCTCCATTTTGTTCTTACAAGTAATTTCATTCATTTTAATGTAGAATTTGGTTGACCTGGCTGGGGCTGAGCGAGCTAGTCAAACAGGTGCTGAAGGTAAGTGGTTTCATACCTGTGATATATGGGAATCTGAACAACCTTTGTTTGGTGGTCGATTTCAGTTGCTTGTGGTATTTTGTGACTTTTGACATCTGATATTTTAGGTACACGTTTCAAAGAAGGATGTAATATAAATCGCAGCCTGTTCACACTCGGTCAAGTGATCAAGAAACTGTCTGATGAAACCCAGAAGTAGGTGTTAGTGACTTATACTTTTTTTTGTTAAACTTATGCTATTTGTTGAATGTTCACTAATGTCATTTTATCCAAACATTCAGGGGTTTCACTAACTACAGGGACAGTAAACTCACCCGCATCCTCCAAAATTCCTTGGGTGGAAATGCAAAAACTGTCATCATCTGCACCATCACCCCAGTTACTCTGGAAGAAACACTTAGCACTCTTCAAGTGGGTGACTTTTTTGTCAGACTTCCATATTAAATCCTTATTTTAAATGTTTAATATCAGACAAATGTTACATTCTTATCTAATCAAGTTACTGCCCATCTCTACAATCTAGTTTGCTAGTGCAGCAAAGAACATGAAGAATGACCCGCATGTCACAGAGGTTTCTGATGACGGAGCCCTTCTGAGAAGATACAGAAATGAAATTGTTGACCTCAAGCGCCGACTTCATGAGGCAAGTCTAGCTGTACCGGCTATTGGGGTTCTTTAGAAATATTGCCGGCTCTCCTTCAAGTATTTGTAAATAAATAAAAAATACTTTTTTTTCACTACCTTAGGTCTCCTCAGTCACTCAAACAACCGCGACAGAGAAGGAGACTCTGTCCCAGATTTTGCAAGAGAAGGATCAGCTCCAAAGAGAACAAGAGGACCGGATTAAGAATTTAACCAAACTTCTAGTCACTTCGTCAAACTTCGTTACCATCAAAAAGGTAGACTTTTAGTGCCTTACAGATAAGTATCCGATGCTTTATTCCTTTATTTTAGTACTTTTTTAATTTAATTTTTTACTTATGTTTAACCATGTCTTTATATTTGTAAAGATGCCGAAACGAAGGGTTACGTGGGGTGGAAAACTGCCATCACCAGCCTTCCACCATGCTGGAGAGTCTGACCTAAGCTTTGCTGAGCCTTTTCTCAAAAAGAGAAAAGCTGATATGTCTGTCTTGACAGAGCAGAATGAAGGTAAGTACGCATAGGAAAAATATACTTAATACCAATCTCAGTGGTAGCTTTTACTCTGCTATATTTTGCCATACTCAGTGCTTGACTTGGGCAGGAACGCAACGGAGCGGAGTACCGGCACCTAAAATGTTCTATTGCTTGAGCTCCTGTTCCTCTTATAGAATATTAGATCCAAAATATTGTGGCACTCCTGCGCCTAAAATATAAACAGTACCAGCACCCAAAATTAGTACCGGAACCTATTTCAGTCCAAGTCAAGCACAGGACATACTGGTACATATATCATGTTCAATTGCTTGTTTTGTTGTTTGTGTATTCACAGATGGCGAGGAGTTAGATTCTACCTTTGACATGGAGATGAACCAGAGCAGTCTGACCGTGCGTGGTTTTGCAGAAAGGTGAACATGGACTATTGCCATCTTATCTTTACACCACATTCCCTTCTGCTTGTTGTCCTTCATACTCATGTTCCTGCATTCCCCTCTTTTCTAGTGAATTTTTTTCTCCAAACCAGCTGAACAAATTGTCTGAGAAGGTGTCTTGTCTGGAGCTCCAGCTGGAAAATGAGACTCAGCAGAAGCAGGAGGCCATGGAGAAAGTGGAGACTTTTCAGAGGAGGGTTGCTGAACTGGAGACGCAACTAGAAGAAAAGTCACAAATGCCCGCTGATGCACAGCTGGAAATTGAAGTTCAGCAGAACCAGGAAGCCATGGAGAAGGTGGCAACTTTCGAGATGAGGGTTGCTGAACTGGAGAAGCAACTAGAAGAAAAGTCACAAATGCCTGCCAATGCACAGGCGCAGGAGGCCATGGAGAAAGTGGAGACTTTTGAGAGGAGGGTTGCTGAACTGGAGACGCAGCTAGAAGAAAAGTCACAAATGCCCGCTGATGCACAGCTGGAAATTGAAGTTCAGCAGAACCAGGAAGCCATGGAGAAGGTGGCAACTTTCGAGAGGAGGGTTGCTGAACTGGAGAAGCAACTAGAAGAAAAGTCACAAATGCCTGCCAATGCACAGGCGCAGGAGGCCGTGGAGACTTTTGAGAGGAGGGTTGCTGAACTGGAGACGCAGCTAGAAGAAAAGTCACAAATGCCTACTGATGCACAGGAGCAAGTTAGTGATCACCAATTCCTTCTCACTGTTTTATTGTGCAGAATGTCGAATCTAAATGCAAAAATGTTCCAACTATCATCTTTCTTTACAGATGAAAAAGGGATTTGAAGAGACTATTCAACTCTGTGAGACGTTGGTGTCTGAGAAGGTATATAGCTATTTTATATACAGTGCTATGAAAAAGTATTTGCCCCCTTTCTAATTTTCTCTACTTTAGCATATTGTGATACTGAATGTTATCAGATCTTCAACCAAAACCTAATTATTAGATAAAGGGAACATAAGTGAACAAAGAACACAACAATTGCATATTTATTTCATAAATGAAGTTATGCAACACCCAATTCCCCTGTGTGAAAAAGTAATTGCCCCCTTACACTCAATAACTGGTTGTGCCACCTTTAGCTGCAATGACTCCAACCAAATGCTTCCTGTAGTTGTTGATCAGTCTCTCACGTCGCTGTGGAGGAATTTTGTCCCACTCTTCCATGCAGAACTGCTTTAACTCAGTGACGTGTGGGTTTTCAAGCATGAACTGCTCGTTTCAAGTCCTGCCACAACATCTCAATTGGGATTAGGTCTGGACTTTGACTAGGCCATTCCAAAACTTCCAATTTGTTGCTTTTTAGCAATTTTCATGTAGACTTGATTTTTGGATCATTGTCTTGCTGCATGACCCAGCTGCGCTTCAGCTCACAGACTGATGGTCTGACATTCTCCTGTAGAATTCTCTGATACAGAGCAGAATTCATGGTTCCTTCTATTAAGGCAAGTTGTCCAGGTCCTGAGGCAGCAAAGCATCCCCAAACCATCACACCACCACCATGCTTGACCTTTGGTATGATGTTCTTACTGTAGAATGCAGTGTTTGGTTTTCGCCAGGCATTACTGGAACCATGTCGTCCAAAAAGTTATACTTTTGAATAATCTGTCCATAGAACGTTCTTCCAAGAGTCTTGATGATCATCCAGGTGCTTTTTGGCAAACTTGAGTCAACTTTTTGGTCCCATTATGCCTGGCGAAAACCAAACACTGCATTCCACAGTAAGAACATCATACCAAAGGTCAAGCTTGGTGGTGTGATGTTTTGGGGATGCTTTGCTGCCTCAGGACCTGGACGACTTGCCTTAATAGAAGGAACCATGAATTCTGCTCTGTAGAGTTCTGCATGGAAGAGTGGGACAAAATTCCTCCACAGCGACGTGAGAGACTGATCAACAACTACAGGAAGCATTTGGTTGGAGTCATTGCAGCTAAAGGTGGCACAACCAGTTATTGAGTGTACGGGGCAATTCCTTTTTCACACAGGGGAATTGGGTGTTGCATAACTTTGTTTATGAAATAAATATGTAATTGTTGTTATTTGTTCCCTTTATCTAATATTAGGTTTTGGTTGAAGATCTGATAACATTCAGGATCACAAATATGCGAAAGTAGAGAAAATTAGAAAGGGGCAAATACTTTTTCATAGCTATATATATATATATTTTATTATTTTCTGAATACTCTCACCTCACCATGTGGTCTGTTGACAGGAAATGGTTGCTACTGAGCGTGATTATCTCAAGCAGGAGCTCAACATCCTAATGGAACAGACTGAAAACTTGAAAAAAGAAAAGGCTGCACTTCTTCAGGAGATGGAGGAGAAGAAGGAGATAGATGAGTTCAATTCTCTGGAAGAGGAGAGCAAAAGAGAATATGAGGTAATAGACTGCTGCATAGATTGCCTAGAGATGTAAAAAGTTATATAACCAACTTATTTCAATGTAGTAGTTATTAAAATTGGAATGTACTATGTATGGAATAAGCCAATTGCAAGTCCATAAATATGAAATGCTCCCTTGCTGGCTTGTAGCTTTGCAGTCATTGGCTTTTGTATAACCCTACAGAAAGAACTACTGAATGACATTTCCTCCTTAAAGAAGGCCATGGAGGCCTCGGGACGCAAATCTCAAGAGCTTGAGGTAAAACTACGAAATGTTTAGGCAGAAGCAAGATGGGAGGCTAACGAGATGTATTGTATGTGGGTGTGTTTTGTCAATGAGTGCTGGGTTGCATGGCTTTTGACTGATTTGCCAAATCTGATCCATCTCTAGGCTAATCTGCTGTCAATGTCAGAGGAGCTGAAAAAGAAAGGCGACTGGGCAGAGGAACTACAAAGATCGGTACATTAATTTTAGCTAATTGATTTGTTCTTGACGTGTTCACAATGGGTGCTGTTGCAGCACCGCCCTGGTGTAACATAGCAATCATACTTTTCTCTTTCAGAGTGACATTGACTTGGTCCAACAAGTGAAGCAGCTGCGACGCTCTCTGGACGATGCTGAGGGGCTGAGCCGTGACACTAAGAAGGAGTGGGCCCACCTGCGCAGTGAAAATATCTCACTCAAAGAGAGGGCTGTAAGTGTCCCCTACCTCAGTGCCAATATCTCCAGTTTGCAGCCTGTATTTAAATGCAAACTGCACTCAATGGATTGACCATTATCATGTTGTAAGTTGTATTAGTCCTAACTTTATGCTTTGGCCTTACTTTCAGGTGACAATAACTGCTGGCTATGAAAGGATGGAAGCTGAGGTGAATGGCCTTCGCTATCAGTTGGAGACAGAAAAATCTCGCTTCAAAAAGATGCAGGTTGACCTTCAGAGGGAGTTACAGGGAGCCTTTGAGGAGAACACCAAGCTTACTACTCTTCTGGATGGAAAAGTTCCCAAAAGTTTGTGGTGTTGGTTGTCTTTTGTATAGTATTTCCCCTCTTCTCCAGCCTTTCATTTATTTGCCCTGCAGTTATTGAATAAGTTATCTAACATGGGGTCTCCTCTTTTTGCATAGATCTCATAGACCGCTTTGAACTTGAGAAAACTGTTGCTGACCTGAAGAAAGAGCTGGAGAAGTCTCATGAAGATGAGAGAACCCTACAAGCTAAGATCGAGGATTTGAGTGCACTGCAGGATCTTCCAGATAAAGTGGACAGTTTGATGAAGCAGGTAAACCTGTTTGATACGATGTGGAACCGGGTACCCCAACAGGGTTCCCCAACTGATTTTTAATTTGGCCGCTCAAGTTTTGAAATAAAAATGTTAGACATAAAATACAGTAAAAACACCAGTAAATCATCTCCAACTGATTTTAATTTAGGAAATCTGTTCCAATATATTCCCACGCATAATAGAGAGATGTATGTGAACGTATACAAATGTAATCAAGGTTTGAAATGATTGTTTGGACTTCTGGCGGTCAATTTGCAGTCTACAAATTATGTTCCGGCCCCCTGACCATCCGCTCAAGAAAAAAATTGGTTCCAGATCCCTGATGTAGAGCAACAGAGACTTGTCTTTAAGAGAAGTCTTATCTTTTAATGAATCTCCTCTGGCTGTTCAGGTATGTGATCTCACTGAGGAGCTGTGTGCAGTCCAACAAGAGAAAGACATGCTGGTGTCTGCTAAGGCCTGCAGTGAGGAAGAAGCTCATCAACTCAGAGAAAATGTCCAGAGCTCCCAGGAGCAGCTAGTCAAACTGCTAGATGACCTGAGCAAAGCTGAGTTAAGGGAAAACAACCTAACCCAGCAGTGTGCTGACATCACTGAGCAACTGGAGACTCTCCGTAAGGACTTGGAGCGCTCTTCTGTGGAGAACAGTCAGCTTCTTACTACTGTGGAGGAGTCCAGCCTGAGAGTAAATTGGTCTTTGGTCCTTGTCAAATCACATGACCTTGAATGTGTTTGTTGAATCTTCTGTAAGGCTGTCCTCCAACAATGTCTTTTTTTATTTAGCTGAAGGAGAATGAAGAGCGTCGAGCATCAATTGAAGATCAATTGTGTGGAATGCAACAAGTCATGAAAGAGTTGGAGGAGAAGCTTGCTGACAGTGAATCATCCAAGGAACAATATGACAATTTATCCCAGGAACGCCAAGATCAGGTGCAGTGCCTCTCCAAACAGCTAATTTCAGCCATCTCCCTACAGTAGGTATTTACAATAATTAATTTGGTTAATTTGTCCTTCAGATAAGGCAGCTGAGTGAGGAGTTGATACAGGTCCAGGCAGAACTAAAACGGCAACATCATCTGAACTCGGAACAGCAGGCATGTGCCCAACAAGATGATCAACATCAGCTACAAGTCAGTGTCTTTATACATAAGTTATGGCCTGGGATCATTTTTAAATGGAACATTTTAATTGTGATATTTCTCATTTGCACAGATACAGGAACTACGGGCTGCATTGGAGTCCGTGACAGAGGAAAGGTGCCAGTTAAACAGTGACTTACAGCAAAATATGGAAATGGTGAGGCCATGTCCAAGTGTTTTTGGTCATACAACAGCTGCACTTTGACGGTGTAGCTAACTGTAAACAAAAACATGAAGTGTCAGTTATTTTAATGTGATATTATTCTCTCCTGTATAGGCTGCAGAGACTCAGGGATGTCTCCATTCCATCCAAGAGGAGCTCAGACAACAGAGACAACTGAACTCTGACCTTGAGAACCAACGTTTACAGAAGGAGACACTACTAGAACAGCAGGTTAATTTATGTGACTGTTTGATTTTAATAGTACGTTTCTTTAATTGTTTTATAATAATACAATTAGCTATTTTTCTCCTCAAAGATGAAGCAGCTGAGTGATGAGCTGGAATCTGTGCAAGCTGAGAGAGAGCTTCTCCTGTCTGAGAAGACAACCGTCCCTCAGAATCATGCGGAGTTGGAGAAGCTTCTCTCTACTGTGACCTCACTAACTGAAGAGAGAGACCAGCTCCAGGAGATACTGGGAGGAGTCAGAGAGGAGAGGAACCAGCTCAAGAGAAACCTGGAGGAGAATGTGGAGATGGTGGGTGATTGATCGATTTTAAAAACAATATTTAGAAAATGCACACACTAATTGCAATCAGTAGAAGCTTTTTATTCTACAAGTTTACGTTTCATATTTTTGCAGATGATTGAAAACCAGGAGGAGTTACGGGTGGCACTTGAAAAGATACACCATCAAGAGGAAAATATGAAACCTATGGAGACTGCAAATCTAGAGGAGCTGCAAAGTCAGGTAAAATATGCTTTTACTTGCTCAACAGAATTCATTGTCACATCAATCGAAGTGTATATTCTAATATGAATGCTAACATACTCTTTAGATGAAGCAGCTGAAGGAGGAGCTTGTGTCTGTGCGAGCTGAGAGCGAGCGCCTCCTGTTTGAGAAGACGGACAGCCCTCAGAATCATGCAGAGGAGTTGGAGAAACTGCTCTCTTCTGTGACCTCACTAACTGAAGAGAGAGACCAGCTCCAGGAGATACTGGAGGGAGTCCGAGAGGAGAGGAACCAGCTCAAGAGAGACCTGGAGGAGAATGTGGAGATGGTGAGTCTGAGTTACTTTTATATCTAATGAAATCCATATTTTCTGCTTTTATCATATTTTGTGTATCCATGTTGATTGACAGAATACATTTATTTGTTCAACAGCAACATCTGAACTCTGAACACCAGCCCCATAGAGAACATCAGGAGACTGACCTACGTCTGCAGGTAAGTAATTGTTTATACACTGAGTGTACAAAACATTAGGAACACCTCTTTCCATGACAGACTGACCAGGTGAAAGCTACAATCCCTTATTGATGTCACTTGTTAAATCCACTCCAATCTGTGTAGATGAAGGGGAGGAGACCGGTTAAAGAAGGATTTTTAAGCCTTGAGACATGGATTGTGTATGTGTGCCATTCAGAGGGTGAATGGCAAGACAAAATATTTAAGTGCCTTTGAACGGGGTATGGTAGTAGGTGCCAGGCGCACAGGTTTGTGTCAAGAACTACAACACTGCTGGTTTTTCACGCTCAACAGTTTCCCGTGTGTGTCAAGAATGGTCCACCACCCAAAGGACATCCAGCCAACTTGACATAACTGTGGGAAGCATTGGAGTCAACATGGGCCAGCATCCCTGTGGAACATTTTACATTTTAGTCATTTAGCAGATGCTCTTATCCAGAGCGACTTACAGTTAGTGAGTGCATACATTTTTCATACTGGCCCCCCGTGGGAATCGAACCCACAACTCTGGCGTTGCAAGCGCCATGCTCTACCAACTGAGCTATAGGAGGAACGTTTTCGATACCTTGGAGAGTCCATGCCCCGACGAATCAAGGCTGTTCTGAGGCGGGGGGTGGTGCAACTCAATATTAGGACGGTGTTCATAATGTTTTGTACACTTGTGTATATTCTGGTGATGTCCAACACCATGGTTCAACTGTATTTGTTTATTCATTATTGCTTTACATTGTTGCCGGTAGATGCAACTAGAGGCAGTGAAGGAGTTAGAGGAGCAACTGGAAGCAGTTAAAGAGGAGCGGAGCCAGCTGAAGACTGACCTTCAGGACAATGTGGAGATGGTGAGGGAATGTTAGACACACACTGCATTAATCATAAGAGACGTGAGATTGAAATCTGCTTGTTGCACAAAGATTTGAATCAGTAATCTGCTCTTAAACTCTACTTTTGGATATTTTTGCATGTTAATGCAATTCATATTTTAACCATTGTTTTAGATGATTGAGAATCAAGAGGAATTAAGGGAGTCTCAAGAGAAGATCAAATCGCTACAGGGGAAAATCCAACAACTTAAGACTCAGAATGCTGATATTGAGACAAGATTGAACAACATAAATGGTCCAGAGAATACATCCTGTCTAGGAGAGCTGCAAAACCAGGTGAGGTTCTTAGTCAGTTGTCGCCATGATGTGCTACCTAAATGCAACCAATGTGCTGGTTGAAGATAAAAAAAAAAAAAATTCAACCAAACCCCACAGATAAGGCAGCTGAATGAGGAGCTTGAGTCTGTGCGAGCTGAGAGAGAGCGTCTCCTGTCTGAGACGACGGACAGCCCTCAGAATCATGCAGGGGAGTTGAAGCTGCTCTCTACTGTGACCTCACTGACTGAAGAGAGAGACCAGCTCCAGGAGATACTGGAGGAGTCCGAGAGGAGAGGAACCAACTCAAGAGAGACCTGGAGGAGAATGTGGAGATGGTGAGTCGTAACTGTTGTACCCTTAGGAAGGCCATTTTTTGGGAGTAGATTGGAGCATCAAGCTGTGAGTGGGGATGTAAAACGAATATGCGTTCCCCCCTAGATCATACAAGTACAGACAGAACTTAAACATCAGCAACATCTGAACTCAGAACAACAGACTGAGAGGGAACATCAAGAAGCTCAACTTCGGCAACAAGTTAGTCTCGGTCTATGACTTTATATGGTGATGTTAGAACGTTGTTGAAACACTGGATAAGTTTATTTTGTATTTATAAAAAAATAACTTTTGTACAGATACAGCAGCTAGGAGAGGAACTGGAAATCATGACTGAGGAGAGGCGTCAGTTGAAGGGTGACCTGCAGGAAAATCTGGAGATGGTGAGGCCATGGTCAAATGTTTTCCAGTTAACCAACTGTGATTTTGAAGTGTGTTCACTGTGAGTGCCATGATGCTTCTACTGCTCCAAATCTAACACGCTATCTTTATTCTAGGCTGCAGAGACTCAGGGACTTCTCCATTCCATCCAAGAGGAGCTCCGACAACAGAGACAACTGAACTCTGACCTTGAGAGCCAAAGTTTACAGAAGGAGTCTCTTCTAGAACAGCAGGTTAATAGCCTAATCTTTCTTCCTTTTTGATGTGTAGGCTTTTCAGATCACATGCATATTGATGAAACGTTTCACCTGTTTCCCCCCTGATAAAGGCTAAGCAGCTGAGTGAGGAGCTTGAGTCTGTGCGAGCTGAGAGAGAGCGTCTCCTGTCTGAGAAGACGGACAGCCCTCAGAATCATGCAGAGGAGTTGGAGAAGCTGCTCTCTACTGTGACCTCACTAACTGAAGAGAGAGACCAGCTCCAGGAGATACTGGAGGGAGTCCGAGAGGAGAGGAACCAGTTTAAGAGAGACCTAGAGGAGAATGTGGAGATGGTGAGTCTTGACTTCTACAATCACATTGTTGATAAATCATTATTATTTATTTTAATCATGAATATGATGTGATATCTTTCAACCAGTCCATCAAAGTCCAGGATGAGTTGAAACATCAGCAACATCTGAACTCAGAGCAGCAGACTGAGAGGGAACATCAAGAAGCTCAACTTCAGCAACAAGTTAGTCTCGGTCTATGACTTTATATGGTGATGTTAGAACATTGTTGAAACACTGGATAAGTTTTATTTGTATTTTAAACTTTTGTACAGATACAGCAGCTAGGAGAGGAACTGGAAACCATGACACAGGAGAGGCGTCAGTTGAAGGGTGACCTGCAGGAAAATCTGGAGATGGTGAGGCCATGGTCAAATGTTTTCCAGTTAACCAACTGTGATTTTGAAGTGTGTTCACTGTGAGTGCCATGATGCTTCTACTGCTCCAAATCTAACACGCTATCTTTATTCTAGGCTGCAGAGACTCAGGGACTTCTCCATTCCATCCAAGAGGAGCTCCGACAACAGAGACAACTGAACTCTGACCTTGAGAGCCAAAGTTTACAGAAGGAGTCTCTTCTAGAACAGCAGGTTAATAGCCTAATCTTTCTTCCTTTTTGATGTGTAGGCTTTTCAGATCACATGCATATTGATGAAACGTTTCACCTGTTTCCCCCCTGATAAAGGCTAAGCAGCTGAGTGAGGAGCTTGAGTCTGTGCGAGCTGAGAGAGAGCGTCTCCTGTCTGAGAAGACGGACAGCCCTCAGAATCATGCAGAGGAGTTGGAGAAGCTGCTCTCTACTGTGACCTCACTAACTGAAGAGAGAGACCAGCTCCAGGAGATACTGGAGGGAGTCAGAGAGGAGAGGAACCAACTCAAGAGAGACCTAAAGAAGAATGTGGAGATGGTGAGTCTGACTTTTATTATTATTTATTTGACCCATGAATATGATGTGATATCTTTGAACCAGTCCATCAAAGTCCAGGAGGAGTTGAAATGGCAGCAACATCTCAACTCTGAACAGCAGGCTGAGACAGAACATTAAACAGCCCAAGTCAGTAAAAGCCTCTACTCATCCAGGTGATGGTGTCTCATAGTTGCTTGTTTACTGTTTTGATCATTGTACTTTGTCACATTTTGTTCATATGCAGCAGCTAGAGGAAGAATGCACATACATGAGAGATGAGAGGACCCAGATTCAGGGAGACCTGCAGGAAAATATGGAGATGGTGAGTCTGAATTTTTTATAGGCCTGTATTAGTTTTAAAATGTGCATTTTTATATAAATAATTTAAGTGAAATCTCCCCCCAGGTCATAGAAATGCAGAGGACATTAGAACAGCAGCGACATCTGAACTCACAACAGCAGGCTGAGAGCGAACAACAAGAGGCCCAACTTAAACAACAAGTGAGTCATAGTTAAACCATATACATAGCTGGTGGCGTTAGACAATTATTGAAATATATTTTATTTCCTTGAACATTTCTCTATTTTAAAGGTCCAGCATCTTGAAGAGCAGTTGGAGATGGTGAAAGATGAAAGGAGCCAGCTGAAGAGCAACCTTCAGTACAACATGGACATGGTGAGAGTCTGTATTACTGTTCTGAACTCAGAGAAGCAGATTCATAACGTGAGTGAGCCAAGAACCAAGCTTAGAATGAGGTTTTGGTACAGGTGGTTTTGGCTAAAATGGCTTTACATGTTTACTTTGCATTGCCCTCAGATGAAGCAGCTGGAGGAGGAATTTAAAGGTTTCAAAGAAGGACAGTCTCACTTCAAAGTCGAAGCAGAAACCTCACATAAGGTTTGTTTTTCATTGTATTGGATAACAAGTAGTTCCTTCTGCTGTGTCTGAAATTGCTGTGGCATTTTTCAAATGAACTTTTTCCCCCATTCCAGATGCTTAGTGATGCGAATGCGACCATCTCCATATTGACAGAGCAGATCAATAACCTGGAGCAGAGCACCAACTGTTGTACCACCAGGGCAGGCGAGGGACTGTGCTCCAGACTGGAAGCTTCTACTCAGCAGCTCCAGGTGGGCTAGCACTTGATTTTATTCTGATCAAAAAATATATCTGCATTGCTTGCTGTTTGGGGTTTTAGGCTGGGTTTTCTGTATAGCACTTTGTGACATCTGCTGACGTAAAAAGGGCTTTATAAATACATTTGATTGATAAACGCAACATGCAACAATTTCAAAGATTTTACTGAGTAACAGTTGATATAAGGAAATCGGTCAGTTTAAATGAGGCCCTAATCTATGGATTTCACATGACTGGGAATACAGATATGCATCCATTGGTCACAGATACTTTTTAAAAAGGTAGGGCGTGGATCAGAAAACCAGTCAGTATCTGGTGTGACCACCATTTGCCTCATGCAGTGTGACACATCTCCTTCGCATAGAGTTGCTTGTGGAATGTTTTCCCACTCCTCTTCAATGGCTGTGCAAAGTTTCTGGATATTGACTGGAACACGCTGTCATACACTCAATCCAGAGCATGCTCAATGAGTGACATATGCAGGCCATGGAAGAAGTAGGACATTTTCAGCTTCCAGGAATTGTGTACAGATCCTTGCCACATGGGGCCGTGTATTATCATGCTGAAACATGAGGTGATGGCGGCGGATGAATGGCACAACAATGGGCCTCACGATCTCGTCACGGTATCTCTGTGCATTCAAATTGCCATCGATATAATGCAATTGTGTTCGTTATCTGTAGCTTATGCCTGCCCATACCATAACCCCACCATGGGGCACTCTGTTCACAACGTTGACATCAGCTAACCACTCGCCCACACAAAGCCATATACACGGTCTGCGGTTGTGAGGCTGGTTGGATGTACTGCCAATTTCGTTAAAACGACGTTGGAGGCGACTTATGGTAGGAGAAATGAACATTACATTCTCTGGCAACAGCTCTGGTGGACATTCCTGCAGTCAGCGTGCTAATTGCACGCTCCCTCATCTGTGGCGTTGTTGTGTGACAAAACTGCACATTTTAGTGGCCTTTTATTGACCCAGCACAAGGTGCACCTGTGTAATTATCATGCTGTTTTAATCAGCTTCTTGAAATGCCACACCTATCAGGTGGATGGATTATCTTGGTAAAGGAGAAATGCTCATTAGCATGGATGTTAACAAATGTGTGCATAAAACTTGAGAGAAATAAGGTATTTGTGCATATATGGAACATTTCTGGGATCTTTTATTTCAGCTCATGAAACCTGGGACCAACACTTTACATGTTGCTTTTTATATTTTTGTTCAGTGTATTTCAATCTGTACAAATGCTTCATTCGATGACAGCATAATAAAAACAATGATTATATCCCATTGCAGGTGTCCTTCATGAGGTTCCAGCTTGTTATCAATGGTGCTTCAAAGCCTGGACATGGGCCCCTGATTGATGTCACACGAGTTGAAGAAGTCATGATACTGAAACTGTTGCCCCTTCTTCCAAAGCCCACAAAAAAGATCCATAGCAATGTCAATAGATCTACAGTCCAGATCACTAACACGGTGTGGGATACAAAGGTACGAATAATCACATGTTCGTCATCGTTTCTATTTAATGTTTAACTGCAATAGTAAACAGCTTTTGCTAAATTGAGTCAAATCATTTTAGGTGCTGCTGAAGCTGTGTGCCAAGGATTACAAAACCCACTTTGAAGCCCTGGTCCAGAATGACTTGGCTGTATTTGAGGAGAGGAGACTCCAGGACCTGCTCCTCTGTAGAGCCCAGGCACCCAGTCACTCAGTCAAGGTGGCTGAGAATGACTTCCTTGGAGTCTGGGACGAGAGACTGTCAGAACTGTTGGACAGGAGAGAAGATTACCTCCAGGTGGGTTGGCTTCACATTACTGCACAACAGAAAATATATATCTTTATACTGTATGTTGTGAAACTAATCGTGTTATATCATGTTCTCAGAAAATGAACAGTGTTTTGAAGAAGCTTGAGGAGAGCCTGGCCGCTCACCCAGCAGCAGTGTCAGAGGAGCTGAGTGTGCGAGAGAGGAGCAACGAGGAGCTGAGTGCTCTATGCATGGTCCACTCACCTGACTCAGCAGCAGTGGAGAGCTTCCTGGAGCGAGAGCTGGCCCGGCGCTCTGCTTTGGCACAGGCCAACACACTGGCTCTCCAGGTAGTTAACCCCATCAATAATCTCCAGTCTTAGTTACCACATACGGAATGTCAATTGTATCGCTGAGGTTGATCATGGTTTGTCTGTGAATGGTTTTCCTCTTGCCTTGCAGGGATTGCGAGATGAGCGCTGTGGTCTGCTCAGAGAGCTAGGTGTTGTCCGAGCACAGGCTGACAGTCAGCTGAAAGAAGAGAGGAGTAAGACTTCTACTCTGCTGCAGATACTGGAGCGTGCCCCCGTCAAGACTGAAGCTGACCTGCTGAGGGACAACCAGCAACTTGCCCTGCAACGTCAGCAGTTGGATGGAGAAATCAAGGTACCATTTTAACCAGTTTTCAATCTCATGGATGATTTCCATTTTTCTAGCTGAACCTATGATTAGTTTACAACGTGTACATGTTGTGTTTGCAGGAAATGCAGATGCGAGTTGAGCAGCTGGAAGAGGACCAGATCAAAGCTGCCGATAGCGTCTCGAACCACAAACAAGCCACCCAGCTCCTACAAACTGAGCTTCAGGATGCTTGTGCCAAAGTCAAGGACAGGGAGGGCTCCATTCAAATCCTAAAAGAGAAACTCAGAGAGACGGAGGTAAGGGTTGGAGCAAGGTGGAACTTCACCCCTGATCTTTTATTTTGTATTTTATGTGGGATGTGTTCAATACTGTATAAACTTGTTTTATTTTTTGGGGTATAGGTTCTGGCTAAGAGAAGAGCATCACCTAGTGCTCTTGAGCTTGACGAGCTGAAGGCTAAAGTTGTGAAAATGGAGTTGGAGACGACTGCATCATCCTCTAAACACCAAGAAGAGTAGGGCTTAATTTGTTTAATCATGAGCTATGCCATTTAAATGTGTATTCTTTCTTTGCTTGTCGGAATTGTATCACAGCTGAATTTGAGCAGGGCTTGTTCAATGTTTAAAGTATCTCTCCCTGAGTCATGTTTAGGACGTTCTGCATTTGTTCCCCTTAGGTTACTGAGGATGACCACGGTCCTGAACCACAAGGAGGACGCTCTGAGGACGCTGAAGGAGACTCTGAGAAGATCACGACAGGAGGGAGAACAGTCATGTAAATCTAGTAATATAATTTGAGATGACCACAAAACAGCAAGTTAATAGTTAGATGAGCTCTAATTTGAGATGTTTAATTATATTGCAGTCAATGAGGGACAGGATCTGCATGCCAGACTGACAACCACCAGAGGACGCACGGTCCAAAGCAACATTCTCCTTGAAAAGAACAAACTTGAGGAGGAAGTGAAAAGGCTACAGAGCAACATTTCAGAATTGGAGAGGTGAAGATGGATCTGTAAGATTACTGTATTGCTTTGACGTTTCTTGCGAGATCATATCACTGACCTCTGCCATTTTGTCTCTGTTTTGACAGCCTTGTGTCCACTCAGCAGGGTGAGATCACAAAATGGAAGGCTAGAGCAATTAAGCTGAAGGAGAAGAGGAGGGACCTGGTAGACAAGCCTCTGTCTCCATGTACTCCTACAAAACGACACCTTCCCATGAGTTCTGAGGACTTCCTCAACTCTCCCAAGAGGTTCCTTGACTCTCCCAAGAGGTTCCTTGACTCTCCCAAGAAGTTCCTCGACTCTCCCAAGAGCAAGTTCTTCGATGTCCGTCCAGGCTCTGAATCCATGTCGATCAACTGTCCCAAGCAGTTTTTTGATAACTCCAACCTTGGAACCATTCAAGGTAACTACAGTCAAATTTACCTGACTTTACCTTACAATTTCAGTTTGTGTCCAGTCACCCAACAGCAGTTGGCCTTAATGAAATGACATGTTTTACCAGAGGTTGCGGGTATTCCCATATCAGATATGGAGGCTGATGGAAGTGCAGAAGAGGGTAATTGGTGGAATGTTATCCCCTGTGTTTGGGATAAAACACAGTGTGGTGTTATTACTAATTGGAGCACAAACACATTTACGTCATTTAGCAGACGCTCTTATCCAGAGCGACTTACAAATTGGTGCATTCACCAGTGGCAACCACTTTACAATTTTTTTAAACGTATATTTATATAAACACATCTTCTGGCTGTTAGTCACTTGTCACATACTGGTGTAATAGAGTGAGGTATCATAGGGGTTGGTAACAAAATTGTGCTAACACTTCATCACTGTTACTAACGCTAACTCTATCTTTGGAATTTTAACCTACACCAGGCTTGCTTTGATTCTACATTGTTTGACTTGGTATTGTTTTGGCTGATTTTGGTCTTTATTTTATCTTTTCAGATGCAAGTGTGGATAAAAAGGAGGAATGGTGGCCTCTGTCACCAAAGCAAGCTGATTTATGCAAACAACAGTAAATTGTTTACCTACATTTTACTAATCATTGTCTGTCTATTTTTCAATGTTGAAAATATTTTCAATGTTTTCAATTGTATTTGTCAGTCAGTTTTAGCTTTGATCAATTTGATTGATTGTCTTAAAATTGTTTAAAATAAAGAGCTGTTTCTTGAATAAGACTCAACTCAACCAGCTTTCTTTTTTGTAAAGGACTTCAAATGTTCTGACATAACAGCAGATGGCATGCTTGCACCATTTTGTTTGAGATTGTCTATATTTTGACAATGGAGGATTTTAAACTTGATCTCCATTCAAGGTGGTCTTGATGTTCAGTTTCTCCCATTTTAATAATTGTCAGACTATTATGCTTTTTAATTTTTAACCAAAGATGGCAGTTTTTGATTGAGGAGATTGTCCATTAATGACTCATCATTGGAAGTGCTTTCTAATTCCACACAGTTTGGAATTGTCAAAAGGGATATCAGTTAAATGTTCAGAGATGGAGGATCACTAGGGTAATTAATGGAGTAGTTCAGGATCTTTCCACTATATTAGATGTACATGTAAAATTAGATGTTTCCTCACCCTGAAAGTAGTCTATGGGCCAGGAGAAACTAATCCATGGTTCGGTTTTCTTTAAATAGCCATGACAACTTCTGCTAACTTTAGCCACCACAAGATAACGATCAATGGAAGCGATAGGTGCATGTAAAAATAAAACAAGACCAAATCAACTTTAAGTTACAGCTAACCAAATATTTAGTTGATTTCAGGTGATTTGCTTACAGTGCCTATAGAAAGTCTACACCTCAAACTTTTTCCAAATGTTTCTGCCTTAAAATTTAATCTAAAAAGGGATTAAATTAATTATTTTTTCCTACCATTCTACACAATCTACTCCACATTTTCAAAGTGGAAAGGTTTATAGAAAATGTTCCAAAATTAACAAAAAAATAAACACTGAAATATCATAATTGAATAAGAGTTAATACAGTGGGGGAAAAAGTATTTAGTCAGCCACCAATAGTGCAAGTTCTCCCACTTAAAAAGATGAGAGGCCTGTAATTTTCATCATAGGTACACGTCAACTATGACAGACAAATTGAGATTTTTTTCCAGAAAATCACATTGTAGGATTTTTAATGAATTTATTAGCAAATTATGGTGGAAAATAAGTATTTGGTCACCTACAAACAAGCAAGATTTCTGGCTCTCACAGACCTGTAACTTCTTCTTTAAGAGGCTCCTCTGTCCTCCACTCGTTACCTGTATTAATGGCACCTGTTTGAAGTTGTTATCAGTATAAAAGACACCTGTCCACAACCTCAAACAGTCACACTCCAAACTCCACTATGGCCAAGACCAAAGAGCTGTCAAAGGACACCAGAAACAAAATTGTAGTCCTGCACCAGGCTGGGAAGACTGAATCTGCAATAGGTAAGCAGCTTGGTTTGAAGAAATCAACTGTGGGAGCAATTATTAGGAAATGGAAGACATACAAGACCACTGATAATCTCCCTCGATCTGGGGCTCCACGCAAGATCTCACCCCGTGGGGTCAAAATGATCACAAGAACGGTGAGCAAAAATCCCAGAACCACACGGGGGGACCTAGTGAATGACCTGCAGAGAGCTGGGACCAAAGTAACAAAGCCTACCATCAGTAACACCTACGCCGCCAGGGACTCAAATCCTGCAGTGCCAGTGTCCCCCTGCTTAAGCCAGTACATGTCCAGGCCCGTCTGAAGTTTGCTAGAGTGCATTTGGATGATCCAGAAGAGGATTGGGAGAATGTCATATGGTCAGATGAAACCAAAATAGAACTTTTTGGTAAAAACTCAACTCGTTGTGTTTGGAGGACAAAGAATGCTGAGTTGCATCCAAAGAACACCATACCTACTGTGAAGCATGGGGGTGGAAACATCATGCTTTGGGGCTGTTTTTCTGCAAAGGGACCAGGACGACTGATCCGTGTAAAGGAAAGAATGAATGGGGCCATGTATCGTGAGATTTTGAGTGAAAACCTCCTTCCATCAGCAAGGGCATTGAAGATGAAACGTGGCTGGGTCTTTCAGCATGACAATGATCCCAAACACACCGCCCGGGCAACGAAGGAGTGGCTTCGTAAGAAGCATTTCAAGGTCCTGGAGTGGCCTAGCCAGTCTCCAGATCTCAACCCCATAGAAAATCTTTGGAGGGAGTTGAAAGTCCGTGTTGCCCAGCGACAGCCCCAAAACATCACTGCTCTAGAGGAGATCTGCATGGAGGAATGGGCCAAAACACCAGCAACAGTGTGTGAAAACCTTGTGAAGACTTACAGAAAACGTTTGACCTGTGTCATTGCCAACAAAGGGTATATAACAAAGTATTGAGAAACTTTTGTTATTGACCAAATACTTATTTTCCACCATAATTTGCAAATAAATTCATTAAAAATCCTACAATGTGATTTTCTGGAGAGAAAAAATCTCAATTTGTCTGTCATAGTTGACGTGTACCTATGATGAAAATTACAGGCCTCTCTCATCTTTTTAAGTGGGAGAACTTGCACAATTGGTGGCTGACTAAATACTTTTTCCCCCACTGTACTTGGTGGAAGCAGTCATTACAGCTGTGAATTATTTGCATTATGATTCTACCAACTTTGCACAACTATTAGGTCAACAGACATTGTTTTTGTAAATTTCTCAGGCTCAGTAAATATGGTTGGAGATCATTGATGGACAGTGATATTTTAACCTTGTCCACATTTTTTTGGGACAACCTTTACTTCACTACATTCCTAAAGAAAATGGTATACTTTTTACTCCATGCATTTTCCTTGACACCCCAAAAATACTTGTTACATTTTGAGTGCTTAGCAGGACAAGGAAATAGTCCAATTCACACACTTATCAAGAGAACATACCAGGTCATCCCTACTTCCTCTGATCTGGTAGACTCACTAAACACATGCTTCATTTGTAAATGTCGAAGTGTGTCCCTGGCTATCCGTACATTTTTTTTAATCAAAAAAATGGTGTCATCTGGTTTGCTTATTACATGGAATTTGAATTGATTTTTACTTTTGATACTTGAGTATATTTTAACAATTACATTTACTTTTGATACTTTTTTAACTAGGCATGTCAGTTAGGATCAAATTCTTATTTAAAATGACGGCCTACCAAGAGGCACTTAAGTAATATTTAAAACCAAATACTTTTAGACTTTAACTCGAGTAGTATTTTACTGGCTGACTTTTACTTGAGTCATTTTCTATTAAGGTGTCTTATCTGAACTATGACAATTGTGTACTTATTCCACCACTGGTTGGTGGCACCTTAATTGAGGAGGAGGGGCTCGTGGTAATGGCTTGAGTGGAATGACATCAAATACATGGTTTCCATGGGTTTGATGCCATTCCATTTGCTCTGTTCCAGACATTATTATGAGCCATTCTCCCTTCAGCAGCCTTCTGTGCCAGGAACACTCAACACCTCTTGGAAAGCCATTCTGTTGTCTTTTGCATTTTATTTTTTGTAATTGTCCCGCAGAAAAATAAAACCCTATCCCAGGGTTAGGTTTTCAGAAGTTGTTGAGCGCTTCCATTTGTATTTTTCAAGTATTGTGGTGGCAGCATCATGTTATGGGTATGCTTGTCATCGGCAGGGACTGGGGGGATTGTCAGGATCAAAATAAATATGAAAGGAGCAAATCCCAGGTAAAAAGTTAGAGGAAAACCCGCCTCAGTCTTCTGAAGACCCTTTTTTTTCCAGCGAGACAATTACACACATTTTTATGCCAAAGATGCACCAGAATGGCTTTCAAAGAGGTGTTGTGTTTCTGAGTGTAGTCTTAGTCCTGACTGGACTTTTATTGAAAATCAGAGACAAGGTTTGAATATTTGTGTTTGTCAATGATTCCCAACCAAATATTATAAGCTTGAGCATCTTTTTACAAAAACAATGGATATATACGTTGTCCTAAGAGTTGTGCAAAGTTGGTAGAATCTTAATGAAAATGATTCACCGCTGTAATGGCTGCCAAAGGTGGTTCCACCAAGTATTAACTCGAGGGTGGAGACTTATCAAATTATGATATTTCTTCTTCTTTTTTTTGGGGGGGGGGGGGGTGTGTTCTATAACTTTCTTTCACTTTTGAAAATGTGGAGTAGGTTGTGTAGATCTGTAGGAAAAATATTGATAATTGAATCCCTTTTTAGATACTATTTTAAAGCAGCAAAATGTGAAAAGTTCAATGGGGGTGTAGATTTCTATAGGCACTGTACATGCCCTTATCACTTCCATTGATTGTACATTTGTGGTGGCTGAAGTTAGTTGTAGTGGCTGTTTTAAAGAACCTAACCATGGACTAGACTGCTTACTTTCAGGGTGAGGAACCATCTAACATCAAGTTCAAACATCCTGAACTACTCTTTTAAGCTACATGCCAGAATTCAACTCTGAATTAATCTAAACAACTATTTGCCTATTTGTGCAGGTAAACAGGAGGCCTGACTCGGTCTACTTAGACTCGGGTCTCAGTAGTTGCCCCATGGCTACATTATTTTGGTCACTTCCTATGCATGGCTTCACATTTAAATGAAGAGTGGTTAACTTGGAGAGATTGTTTTTCTCCAAGTGCTGCACACAGTTCTTTGTTTTACCTAATTGTATTCTTATTTACATATTTACACAATGTATTACAGTGGGATTCATTATCGAGGAAAGGTCTTTCCCTTGTTCAATTATTTAGGGCTCAGTCACAGACATTAAAGTTTCATGAGAGACAATTTGGAGGCAGTGCTGGTCGCGGAGTGTGAGCATGCATGGTCGCTTGGGAAACAAAAAAGGCCTTGTTGCCTTTAGAAGTGTTTGTTGTGAACTTGTGACTGAGGATTAAGTGACACGTGGAATAAAACTACATTCATCATTACATTTGTGGACTATTAACCCAGAATCTAGCAGGTGGTATTGTATGTTGATCAAATGTATTTGATTAGGCATGTCACTCTGAGAGTTATCTCTCTTAAAGATAGCCAGATAGATCACTTAAATAACTTGATAAATAAGTTGCTGTCTGACTGTTTGAGGAACATCCACAAAATTGTCAGGAATGCTCTTGAGTAGGGTTGCAAAGGGAGGGTATATTACTGGAAACTTTCAAAGTTTACCATTAAACTACTAGAATTTTGGTATC